CCCTTTGTCCATAATTGCAAGTTTCCGAAAGGCTCCAAGTGTGCCCTTAGCAACCATTGTGTCTTTTCCTTGCTGTAATTGTTTGTGTAAGTTACGTTTCCCCAAGATCAAAATAAACAGACACAGTTGTATTAGTGAAACTTGCTAAAATGAAAATGTCATCCTAAACAGTCAGTCTAGCAGCCAGTGCCGCCCTCATGTTGCTTTCTTTGCAAGGTTCTTCACCATTTGTACTTGAAAATAATGAAATATTCAGGGGAAAAAACCCTAAACTTCTACCTCCCTCCAACACAAGAGGAGCACACAGAATCCTTTCCCCATTATGCAAGTAGTTTAGTGCTTTTCTTCACTTCAAATGATCAACTCATCTCCAGAACACTGATCTGCTGCTCTCTGACTGAGCTCACAGTCACATACTCTTTGGTGAAGGAATTGGTCTTTTAATGTTACCAGACTTTGTGTTACTTTCTGTAGTCTTGCCAAGAGTCTAAAGACTATTTCAACACTAAAATACTCAATATTTCATTGTCTTTATTTAAACTGGAAAGAAATACTTCTCACAGTTTTTTGGGGTATAGGTAAGTCCTGTCTAGGTTCTTGTACACTCTTACTGAATGAAGCTCTGAATAATCTTGTCCAGGGGGGATTTTGACCTAAGCTGCAAAACCATCTCGAAGAACCTGATCCATGAGCACCATCTTATTTGAAATTGCTTGTTTTCCAGTTGATGCAGTGAACACTCGTTTACTGAAGAGCCTCATTCCAGCCTCAGAAATACCACAGAGTTCTGTGATTACAGCTGTGTCTTGGCTCTGTGTCAGCAAGTGCTCAGACAACGTCCAGGTAATTTTTTGTTTGCGGTAGTTATTCTTTCTGCACAGGAATGACAAGGACAGGTTATTTTCAGGAAGCAAGAATCCTGAGGTTTTAATGTGCAAGGTCTTACACAAGGTACTGTCATTCACCAAGATTGGCACAGGCACCCATTGCTGGAATGGCAGTAGGAACCAAGAAACTTTTTATAAATATGAGTGGGAATTTGCACAGTTCCTGCTTGCCTTGTGTCTCTGAGTTCCTCAGGACTGGTTTCTCCACCCACATTTGTATGAAATACTTCAGCTATGTGAGGCATTCTTCAGCTTCAGCAAGGTTAGGTTCCCTTAGGTTATGTGTACCTTGGTCATGGCAACATGGCTGAACATTAGCCAAAGACACAATCTGCTTAAAGGTTTGCATCATAGAATCATTTAGGTTGGAAAAGATTTTTAAGACCAACGTAATGCTGCCAACTCCACTAAACCATGTCCTTAAGTGCCACTTCTACATGTCTTTTAAATCCCTCCAGGGATGGTGATTCAACCACTTGCCTGGGCAGCCTGTGCCAATGCTTGACAGCCCCTTTGGTGAAGAACTTTTTCCTAATCAACCTAAACCTCCCACAACTTGATACTACTTCTTGTCCTGTCTCTTGTTACTTGGAAGAAGACACCAACACCCACCTCATTTAGCCTCCCTTCAGGGGGTCATAGGGGGCAATAAGTTCTCCCCTGAGCCTCCTTTACTCCAGGCAAAACACCTGCAGCTCCCTCAGCCACTCCACTTGAGATTTGTGTTCCAGGCCCTTCCCCAACTCTGTTGCTCTGCTTTGTATCCTCCAGCATCTCAATCTCCTCCTTGCTGAGGGGTGAGCACATTCAAAACTCTGTTTCCCATACTTCATGCATTGGTATACAGTCACAGTGAGGTGTTGGAGTGTATGCATTTCCCAGGAGGGCTGCAAGAGGATACCCCATAGCCATGTCTTGTAGCCACTTCCTGTGCTGCATGCCTTTCCTGGAAGTATCCTCACATGAGCCTGATTTTGCTGCGTGGGTGGTCTCTATAACTCTCCCCTTCCCCATCTTTCCTGGTTTAAAGTTATCCTTACCAGCTTAGCCAGTGTGTTGGCCAAGACCTGCCCCATTTATTGAGGTGGATTCCATCTCTCTCAATCAGCCATTGAGCCACAAACAGCGTCCCATGGCTATAGAAACTAAAAAACTCTGTTGCCAACACCAGTGATGGACATGGCCTGTTGTTTGCTTGGTGATTTCCTTGGGAGGTTTTCTTCCACAGCTGAATTACCCTTTGCTGTTGTTTGTCTGTAGCTCTCTGCTTGTCCTTGAAAGTGATGTGTGTCCTTACTGATTGTGACTCTTGGGTTGGCCAGTGACTGCTCTGCTTTGTTTTTGCTCTTCACTTGATATATTTATGTAATATAATGTAGTATGTTCATGTAATATAACATACGTGTTATGTTTTTTTCCTATCTGCAGCTGCTTTTTATAAAGTGGCTGATCACAGTGTTCGACTTCATTGATTGCAAGGAACAGCTTCGTGCCCTCTATGGTTATTTCTTCTCCCTCCTGCAAGATGACAGGATGGTAAGGAGAGCTGCAGAATGTATGGAATTGACAAAATGTATCTGTTTGTTAGGAATATGCATATTAATGATGTGATTAGTCTGGAGTTGCTGTTGGTTAGAGACCATTTTCTGATGGCTGGAATTTCTTGTCTCTGGGGTTTTTTTGGGTAATTTAGATCCATAAACAGAGAAGAACTGTAGGATTGCTGTGGTCTGGCTGGTTAAACATGTTTCCAAGAATTGTTTTTCTGTATCACAGAGTGATGAAATATTCTGTCTAAATTCCCAAGAGTAGCTATGGTGCTGCAGTCTCTGGGGCTGTCAGACATCATCAGCAGGTAAAGTTTCCTGCTCGTGGGAAGAAACTGGTTTGTATACCTTTTGCAAAAAAGAAAAACAGTCCTTTTGGAGCAGTGTTTAACGGTGAGAAACAAAATACTGTTGTACTTTATTGATTTGAAATGTGGCTTAAATGAGAACAAGCATTCAGGAGATTTCTGCTGTGTGGCAACTGTAAAATCCAGGTACCAGAATATTGAAGTGTTTGAATTCAGTGCCTATTAATATGATCTTGACAGTCATGTTAGATATGAAATTGTTCATATGCTTTCAGTTTAGGATATTTTCTGGTTAAGACTTGTAGAATTCCCAAAGTTCTGAACAATATTTCTTGTAAAGTTGTTAACGGTTTTAGCTGAGCTTTAGTTACAATATTTTCATAAAACTGGATTTAGGTTCTTACTGTTTAAAATGACATTTTCAGGTATGATGTGTCAGTGGCAAAGTGCACCAGAGCTGGTGTGAAACTAATTGAAGACCTTTACAGCCTTAACTGTAGTTAGAAGCTCTAAAAAGGTACTTGGCTTCAAAGGTGCCTTTGTTTTTGAAAATGTCATTGTCCTTTCACTGTTGACTCCTGGAATTTCTAGACCATGTTCCAAAAAGACGAGATCCAAGCTTACTGAAGAGCTTGGACACTATTGGGACTGTTCACAGTGCAGATAAATCTTCTAAATGAAACTGCAGGCGAGACCTGTGGAAACCATGCTGTTTCCTAAGGGAAGGAAAGGGTACTCTGCCCCAAGGGGATGCAGGGATGGCTTGAGACAGCCAACTGAGTGAAGCAAATCTCTTGTGAAGCCGATGTGCTACTTTCTGTGTGTCCTGGCTGGCAGTCTGCAGCAGCAAGAGAGTTCATTGTGCCTTTGCTTTGCAGTGCCCATACGTGTCTCACCTGCTCTACCTGCTGACCAGGAAAGAAAATGGTGAGTCTGTCACCTCTATGAGATGTAATGACATTTTGTTTCTGATCCTGTTTGCTAGTACAGCCTTTTCTTCCAATGCAGCTAATCCAATGATTAGCCAATAGAGTGCTTTTCAGGCAAGGAAACATGAGTGGTAATTCAGGCAAAAATTTGTGTAACTCTTTCTGAATTGGAAAGCTGTTAGCCTAAAAATGAGAATAATTGGTTCTGCTTGCTTCGTCATGATTTTATTCTAAAAAGCGATATTACATTTTTGCTTTAAGGTCTGATACAGTGGTTTTTAAAATCCATTATATCCTTGATTATCTTTCTAGTCAAGCCCTTTCGGGTTAGGAGACTGCTTGACCTCCAAGCAAAAACGGTGAGTTTATTTCAACTCTTGTAGAGTTTGTACCATGGCTTATAATACAGTTTGTAAGACTAATGCCCTCACAACAAGATTTAGAAGACTGGCTGGGCTTGGAATTGTAGGTTGTAGTCTCTGCAGCATCAAAGCTTGTCTCTCTTGCATGTGCATCGCTGATTTCCAGGTGTGTTTTGTGAGCATGTGCAATGACATGCACAAAGCTCTTTTTTATGGCTAGGTATGAAATCTCTGAAGCAAGGGACAGCTTCATTTTTCTATTATACTCTGTAATTTTCTATTCATCTTCCTTTTGCAAGTGGTATAAAATGACTGAGAAATCTAAGATTGTAGAGGGTTTTGCTCCTTTTTTAATAAGAAAAAGCTGTTGCTATAATATGTTTTTTAGAAAGCAGAAGGCTATTTCATCATTTTGATTGTTAAATTCCTTTTTATTAGTTATGTCTGCAGAAAGCTCTTTCTTCAATGCCCTTCCTATGGTATTTTATTGACACAGTTTCTACTCTTTCTTGCATTTTCAGTTGTTCATCTGTGGTTACTTGGTGATATGTGGCTTTAGAAATTTAGCTTTTACTAATCACTGGGGGTTTTTTTGCTTCTACAATAATCAGTTTCTGTATTAAGAACATACCCCACATATCTTCCCTCTTGTTCTGCTATTAGAGTCAGTCTCACCTCTGTGCTTGGCAGGATCATGGAGCAGATTCTCCTGGAAGCTCTGCTTAGGCACATGAAAAGCAAAGAGGTGATTGGTAATAACTGACCTGGCTTTACCAGGGGCAAGTCATGCCTGACAAATTTGGTGGCCTGCTATGATGGGGCCACAGAATTTGTAGATAGGGGCAGAGCAACTGATATAATCTACCTGGACTTATGCAAAGCGTTGGACACTGTCCCACATGACATCCTTGTCTCTAAATTGGGGAGACATGGATTTGATGGGTGGACCACTCGGTGGATAAAGAACTGGATGGATGGTCGCACACAGAGTTGTGGTCAGCAGCTCATTTCCCATGTGGAGGCCAGTGAGGAGTGGTGTCCTTCAGGGGTCGGTGCTGGGGCCTATACTGTTCAACACCTTTGTCAGTGACATGGAGAGTGGGATTGAGTGAACTCTCAGCAGATTCACTGATGACACCAAACTGTGTGGGGAAGTTGACATGCTGGAGGGAAGGGATGCCATCCAGAGGAACCTTGACAAGCTTGAGGGGTAGGCCAATGCAAACCTCATGAAGTTCAACAAAATTAAGTGCAAGACCCCAGCTGGAATACTGTGTGCAGTTCTGATACCCTTAACATAAGAAGGGCATGGAACTATTGTAGCAAGTCCAGAGGAGGCTGCAAAGTTGGCAAAGAGGACTGGAGCATTTCCCCTATGAAGACAGGCTGAGAAAGTTGGGGCTGTTCAGCCTGGAGAAGAGATGTTTGTGTAGAGAGCTCATAGCAACATTTCAATATCTGAAGGGGCCTACAAGGGAGCTGGAGAGAGGGACTCTTTGTTAGGAACTGCAATGATAGGACAAGGGGTAATGGGTTCAAATTGAAGGAGGGGAAGTTCAGGTTAGATATTAGAAAAAAGTTTTTCCTATGACTGCTGAGATCCTGGCACAGGTTGCCCAGAGAAGTGGTGGCTGCCCCAACTCTGGTGGTGTTCTGGATGAGGCCTTGAGCATCCCGGTCTGGTGGGAAGTGTCCCTGCCCAGGGCAGGAGATTTGGAACTAGATGATCTCTAAGGTCCATTCCGGCCCCTAAAATCCTGTGATTGTATTTGCCAGGGAATGCAGTCCCATCTGCAGGCTCTGCTGTCACTTTACAAACTCTTCCGTCCAGAACTGGTCACCATAACTCTTCCTGGGAAAATGAAGGTAAGGAGTTACATTTGAACTATTTGGAACCAGAACTTACCAACAGGATTTGTACTGAGCTTTCCATTTAAGCTAAGCTATAGTGGTTTAAGATTAATTCTATTTCCTTTCCACTAAGTAAAATCAGGTTTAGATGAGGATTCCTTGCCGTGCATTTTGTTTCCTCTTCAGCATAATGAGATGATTTGGTATGGAATGCTATCTGCCTTTATCTTATGAGGATTACTTTAATCCTCCTTTTGATATTCTTGCTGGTTTTGACTTGTTTTACACAATAAGTTCTTCAGGAAACAAACTGTCTAATTTGTCAAGGCATTGTCCAAATTGCTGACTTGAGTACAAATAGCAATGGAAATCAGGAAGTAGCTTTGCACTTGGAAAGTCTGCCATAGGAAAGAGGGGAAAAAAGCAGGTAAAAATGTGGTGAGCTTGATTTGTCAGAGCCTCAAGAAACAGCAAAAAATCATGACTCCCCTTTTAGAGAGGCCTGTGTGTGCTCTTAGCCCTTTGACCAAATAGAATATATATAGCAGAAACAGAATATGTAACAGATAAGAGCAGCAGATGAGACCTCAATTGTGCAACAAATTTCTATTGGTACTTCAATGTAATAGACTTAAGGGTTTGGCATTTGGGTTTTTTGAGGGTTTTCTAGGCAAGTTGAGTTTCTCTAAGATAAATTTGATTGTATTTCAATTTGCTTGTGAACTTGTTCTGTAGATAAAATACTATACTATAATATGATGTAATAACTTAGACTATAATATAAATATAATAATTATACATGTAACATATATGATAGTTAGATGTTCTAGGTAATTATACATTGCATTGTGCTGCACAGTCATCTGTTGGAGAATTCACATTTTTGGCCTGCACAGAAGTGTGGAAAATAACTAGCAACTAAACCCCAAATACACCTTCAACTGTTATTATGAACACACTGTTTTAACTTGTGGAATCAAAGCTTGATTACCTAAGTCCAAACCAATCTGAATACTTTTGTAATGGTTTGGCACTTGATTAGAATTTAAAGGCTGAATGAAATTGAAATTACAAAGTTTTGTGCAGAAAAGGTGTTGTGTTTTTCCAGTTTTCTGTGATAGTATCTGCATTAATTTGAGAATTTGGTTACACAGGAGTTGTTCTGTTAGGGGGATATCACTGATGCTGATACTAGCAAAGTAACTAGCAAGTTACTTTGCTAGTAACTTGCCTAAGCATACTTTGGTCATGTTTTATTGTAATGTGTACTTGAGGTTTAATCTATGAATTGATGATCAATTTGAATGGGGATTACAAGTCGGACGTGCTGGAGATCCCTTTTGAGAAAAGGGGACATCATTTGAGAAGGAAGTAAAAGCCCAACTTGTTGAACTGTTGTCAAAAGGGGATGAAACTGAGGAATGATAAGAGAGCTCTGTGCTGTGAAAATCTGTCTAGCAGAGTTGAGTGTCAGTTCATCACTACAGTGAGGCTTATCAGAGTAGAAACTGATCTTACTGTTGCTTTGTCTTAGTTTGGTTACTTGCACAGATGTCTGATTTCTGTTTCCAGACTTACTTCAGGAATTCAGATGGCCCATGGAAAGCAGCAATCAATGCAGTACGACAAAGGAAACAGCAACCCTCTCCCCTGTTCCAGACACTGTTTTTGAGCACATCTCAACCTCGGTCACGAAAGAGGGTATGTTATGAGCCTAAGGTAGACCCTGGAAGGTGCCAAGCAGCAGTTTTCATGATGAATATTGTCAAATAATGAGAGTCTGGCTTTATGTCAGCACTGGGAAGGGTGGAGTGACTATATAGACATGCAGCATTCCCATTGTAATGAAGACCTGGATCCTTCTTTTGTACAACAGGGTCTTTCTGGGAACATTGGTCACAAGTGCACTCACCTGCATTGGAAGCAGTCATTGCTATTCATTCGTGTTTCTTTTCTACAGAAATGGAATGTCCAGTTGGTTATACCTGCAAGCAGTGCAAACACGAATCATTTAGGAGGGAACAGGGGGAAGAGCCTTGATCTGAACTGTCAGAAAGTGTCTTTTCCAGTGGAGCAGCTGCAGACCTTTCCTCAGTTCCTGCAAAATATCCACCAGCTGGAGGTGAGTTTCAGGAAGGTCTTGGTAAACTCAATGAATCTTTTGAGAGACCAAAGGATATTCCTCTATGCCCTGATGTCTGTGAATAGCATGTGGTCTACCTAGCTCTGACAGAGCATCTAGGTCTGAGAATGATGAATGGAAGACCTGGAGATGGTCTTGTTGCTGGTAAAAGGATTCTGTAACTGACAGAATGAGATCTGGAAATTTGCTGGTGTAAATACTGAGTAATTCTCTTTGCTTTGATTTCTCTTGCAGCTTCCTGCTCAGATGGCTTCAGTGCTAACAAATCCTTTATTACTTCACTACATGAATTGCGTCAAAGATGAATCTATTTACCTGAGGCTCTACTATTGGATGGGCCAGATGCTCCAGGAAGGTAGGAACTTAGCATTATCGTGCATGGTAGGGAGGTAAAGGTTATCTGAGGCTTTTCACTTTTCAATAATGGAACTTTGCTGTTCAGATATAGTGATAATCATATAGTGTTCAAACAACTGCTGGAAGAGAACTGAATTTGGTTCCTCATTGTGCTTGTTCTTGCTGTGCTGGTATTCAAATAGAGTATTCTCTCCTTTTTAGAATGCACCTGGTGTGTGGCTGATAACTCCAATGAAGAAGAATTCAAGAGCTTCCTGGAAACTATCTACAAGACAGAATGTTTCTTGCAGGTAAGTGCCTGTTTGGTGGAAGCCAAAGAGTTTCACAAAGTCTTCCCTTAAAGTACTTCTGGGACTTACCTCTTTCTTGTAGTAATTTTGAGAAGTGACAGTGTCTCAAGTAATAAAAACACATATACCTGTAGCAAGTCAATATTCTGGAAATGTCTGTGTTTTCTTCAGGAAAAAATAATTGGAGAATGATATTGATAATTTGAATGTCTTGGCAAACTGTATGGCAGGAAGGAGGTGTAAACCTCTTTCTCCAGGGTGAAAAGACCATGGCAAGGTACAGGCATATAAGCTGAGATTTTGAATGTGCCTCTCCTGCTTTGTAGGAGGGATTTTGTGCCTCTGCAGAGTTTCTGTGTAACTGCCTTCCTCTCTGGGATGGTTGCTGCTGCCGGTCACAAATCCTTGGGCTTGTGAGCTGGATTCCCCCGAGCATTTTCTCTGGTATGTGTTGCAGATCCTTTGGGTGAGGTTGGACAGTGTCTGATCCTGGGGGACAGAATTTCTGCACAGATATACTGCTGTATACTACAAGATACACAGATATTCTACTTGTATACTAAAAGATATACTACTTGTCATCCTGGTTTCTCATTTGTTTCAGAAATTGGGTCACAGCTCTATGATCCCCTGGCACAGCTCTTTTTCACATCATCTCTTTACTTTAAGGTAATTTAAGGGGGTACAATGGTGGTTTACTTCTAGCTGATACTGTTCTCTCCACTTGTGTCAGGTGTAACAGTCTGTGGGATTTATAGGGGACTTCATCTGGGGAAGTGTGTTCCCAAATGAGGATGAAATATATACTGATGGCTTAACTTCTTTGGGATTGAGTGCCTTTAAGATATCATCTTGGTTTTTGACTGAAATTCATCTGGGGCACTAAAAATAAAAATAACTGGTAGTACACAGGTCAGCAGTTTGTTTGTTTTATTGCAATTTTAAGTCAGCTTTTCCTGGAGAATGAGAGTTTCAAATACTGTGTAACACATACACTCAGTTTCAGGGGACATGCAATTATCTCAGTGTTCCTGGTAGTGCTGAGAAACTCTTGGTACCTTTCCTTGTGTATGTCAATTCTCAGGGCACTTTTTGTTTAGTAATACTGGCTTACATAAATTGTCCTCAGCCTGATTTCTTTTTGCCTCTTGCAGTGCAGTGTTCTTGAGAGCCTGAAAGAGCTATTGCAGAACTGGTTAAATTGCAATGCAGTTCATCTGGAATCAGAGCTGAATTCTTCGTAAGTTTGTCTTTAAAAAATGCAAACCATGTTCTGTGCATATTTTCTAGCCCTATCACCTAACAGAAAGACAAACTCGAAGGTTAATAATGCTGTTATAATTTTGCTCTATTGTAAGCTACAGTCAGTCCTGTTCTTTATCTTTTAAAGTATGTAAAAGAACACCCTCCCTACACAGACAGACTGAGAAAGCTGGGGCTGTTCAGCCTGGAGAAGGTTGTGTGGAGACCTCATAGCAACCTTCCAGTATCCAAAGGGCCTACAGGGAAGCTGGAGAGGGACTCTGTGTTAGGAAATGGAGTGATAGGACAAGGAGTAAGACAGTGTAAATTGAAGGAGGGAAATAAAGATTAACTATTAGGAAGAGGTTTTTTCCTGTGCGGGTAGTAAGACACTGGCACAGGTTGTGGCTGGCCTAACCCTGGCAGTGTTCAAAGCCAGGTTGGATAAAGCCTTGAGCAACCTGGTCTGGTGGGAGGTGTCCCTGCCCAGGGCAGGGAGTTGGGACTAGATGATCTCTAAGGTCCATTCCAACTTCTTAACATTCTATGATACTATTTCTCTTGATACTAAAAATTGAAATGTCCAGAAGTCAAAATCCTCAAAACACTGACAGCTGGGTCATGTTTATAATAACAGCAGCAATACATTTATGCCTGTGTTGAAGAACAAGTGCCTGTTGCTGAGGGCTTGGTGGGACCAAAGCATAAACTTCAATTTCTTGTTGCCACTTGCTGTTTGCATAGAGGGATATGTACTGGTGTTGTGCCATGTCCTTGTTGCAGGAATACCACACTCTCTGGCCTGGTGAACCTGGTGGCTCAGCTGATCCACTTTGTTGGATGGATCTCTACTGCTGCACTGCGTTTGGAACACAATTCCATGTTCCTGATGTTCTTCATCCTGAATTTCTATGAGACTGTGCGTATCTCAGTCATTCTGACTTTTTTTTTTTTTTTAATATGCCAAGGCTATTGGCATTTTTTTAAGCTAGAGCATAAAAACATCTTTCTCATAATAGTTTACAGAAATTTGTGATTACATGCAAGAATATTCCAAATACATGAGAGATCTACAGGTGAGAGCAGCTGCTGTTGCATCCGGAGGCAGAACTAAATATTCCATTAAGAAAGTGGTTGCTCTTAAGTCAGAGGTGAACTGTGGAAGGGGAAGTAACAGTAGGGCATAATGTGCCTTTTTAATGCTGACTTATAGGAAAGAACAATGTTCAGTTTCAAACAGCGTATCTTTCCATTAAAAATGGGTTGTTTTTTCTAGTTTGTTCTGTAGACAAACTGAGCAGCATCAAATTGGTTTGTGTGCTTTCCAGCTTCCTCACATCCTCTCTGTGGCTGTGCTTACTGTGAATGCCAGCCATGCTCTAACAACAGCAACAGCTCCTACAATTTAGATTAAATTACAAATAGTTGAAAAAACAATGATAATTCTGGGATCTACTTGTAACTAAATTGTGCATCTTAAATGGCATCTTAGTTACAAAACTAATGGGCAACCACATCTACAAAAGACAGTTTGAAATAAGGAAACACTTATTTTATGGGATTATACAGAGAATCAGGCACCCTTTGATGTATTATTATTGGGGCTCTAGCAGGCAGCTACGATTTGAATTTTTTTCTTGATGTTTTGCTTATGCATTCAGAATTCTAGAGATGTCTAAAATAGAGTCAAATCAGATGAGACAGTAAGTGAAGAGCCTAGATTTTTGGAAAACAGCAATAATTGGGTTAAATACAAATAACTGCCTGTAGCTTTCATGGCATAGGGAAAGGTAAAGGTGTGGCAAACAACCTTTAGTGGAAAGTCTGTGGTGAGATTAGGGGAAGGAGTCTGAAAACAATTGTGCCTAATTTAACAGATGTAAAAAAGGGTCCATCTTATGGATCGTGAGCTGTCACTGCTTGCTTTTTTATGGTCTGAGCTGTGGCAACTAGCTGTGCATATTCTTAGACCACTGCTCTCCTGACAATGATGAGTACCTTCCTGAAGGGCGTTACTTTGGGAATAGTTACCATGGCTAAGCTATAGAGGACAGTACTGTGTTACATTACAGCAGTATTGCTTGCAATGTCTTTATAGCTGAAGCTCTTGTTAAAGCTGCATAAATTCCAAAGTGTCTTTTTTGTAACTTGAAACTCAACCTAAAATTCTAAACATGAGCCTCATAATAAATCCATGTTGTATGGCCATATCATCTTCTCTTAGAGCAAAGCTTTATTGTGTGTTTATGCAATTCCAGCAAGGTCAAACAGATTTAGTTTACCAGTTGGAAGAGATGCATTGCCTGTTTGGCTTGTTGGTTTCAGCAAACCAGACTAGGAACAAGGTCAGGGCTAGTGCAATCCCAGCTATATATGTTGGAGTGGTCTAAAAGATAAGGAGAAAAATTGCTGCTTTAATCTGAATAGATTTGACTCAGCAAGTAACCATGTCACAACATATGGTTATACTTAAATGCATAGACTGAGATATGAACTCATGTCTCATAGTTGGGGCTGTTCAGCCTGGAGAAGAGAAGGTTGTGTAGGGACCTCATAACAAGCTCCCAGTATGTGAAGGATCTCCAGGGAAGCTGGAGAGAGACTCTCGGCTAGGAACCGCAGTGACAGGACAAGGGGTAATGGGTATAAATTGAAAGAGGGGAAATTTAGATGAGGTATTAGGAAGAGGTTTTTTCCTGTGAGAGTGGTGAGACACAGGCACAGGTTGCCCAGGGAGGCTGTGGCTGCCCCAACTCTGGCAGTGTTCAAAGCCAGGTTGGATGGGGTCTGGAGCAACCTGTTCTGGTGGGAGGTGTCCCTGCCCAGGGCAGGGGGGTGGGACTAGATTATCTTTAGGGTCTGTTCCAGCCCCTTAACATACTATGAAACTATAGTAAGAAGAAAACAGCACACCTGCCCTTGGCCTTCCCTCCTAGGTGAGGTTGATGGATCTGGCTGGAATGCAGTGTCACGCTCTCTGTTGCTCTTAGAGCCTTCGGGGTTTGTCCTAATCCTTAATCTGGCAGTAACAATCCGCTTGGATGTGCTTCATTCCTGCAGGTGTGTGACATGTACCTGGAGTACAAACTGCCTTTGTTGATATTGCCTCCTGCTGGAGTTTTCTACACAGCACTGCTTAGTATGGACTCGGTCACCTTGAATCAACTCTGTTACATTATGTACAGGTACTACAACTGGTGTGGGCTGTAAGGGACTCCTTACCTTCTTTCAGTCTTTTGGGAATGAAATTACTTTGGTGTAAAATCTGAAATCTTTTTCTTACCATGCAAGACAAAGCTGAAAGTTCCACTTGTGCCCAACTTTCATGATACAGGATTTTATAGCTGTAGTTCCTACTCTTTTTTTCAGTCTGTTATCCAAAATGACAGCAGGATTCTGACCTCTTTCCTGGTATTATTTCCATATCTTTGATATGTGAAGGCAGAAGTTTCTGTATTGTCTTGAGAGAACTGGAGTCAGCCAGTTGGATTTACTAGTAACTATGCAACTTCTCACTTGTGTGCTTAGACCACTAGAGTTGAGCTTTTCCTTACAAACTCTATCATGTGCTGAGTAGGAAGCACTTCTGCCACCACCAGACTTGGTGGGAATTTGGGACTGCCTTGTGCTGCTGGCAGATCCAAAGACAGGACTGTTCAGTGTTCTGCAGGATCCACCACCAAGGCTGTGGTTTTGGCCCTGTTAATTCCGGTGGCTGCATCTGAGAAGAGTAGCCAATAGCTGACAGCTGGTGCAGGGCTCTCCATGTGGCTTTTTCTCCAAGGAGTCTGCAGGGTAATTAACATGACAGGATGGTCTCTAGGAAATGAGGAGCTAGTGCTTATTATATAGAACAACTGTCAAGTTGCATTACTTCCAGTACTTCTGTTTCTTTGCTTAGTGAATGGAAGTTTTCCTTCTTAAAAATACATTGCATTTTGCTGCTGATTTTTTTGGCTGAATGTCAATTCTTGCATATTGCCTTTATAAGGCGTCTGTCCCAGGCAAACCAGTCATATCTGAATCATTTAATCAATTAGTCTCTTAAAGATTAATATTATTGGATGTGTCCTTACTCTGCCTGGAAAGGGTGTGTCTATGCCAAGTGATAAAGTCCTTGGAATACTTTTTCATGTCTCCTTTTTACTAACAAAGTTTGATAATCAATCTCATGGCAGAAATAAGTCTTTTTAACACATTCCTCCAGCTTTTTTCAACACTGTCAAAGCTTACAGGCTCTTAACTTTCTCTTTTGTTTGTTTTTTTTTTCAGGTATCGAACCAACTTGGTGGCTGCGAAAGAAAATGAGCGGAGTAAAAAGGTATTGTGGACGGAAGTGTAAGGTGCTAGTACAGACCTTAGCAAGGAATTCTGGGGAGTGGAGGGGAGATGTACTAATGGCATTCTCTTGAGGACTGGAGGGAGACCACAGCTGCTTTGAGGATGTTATTTATTGATTTGTTTTGTGCCTCAGAAAATCCTGCAGTTCAAGTTCAGTAACCGGACATACCAAGAGTACAACCAGTACATAACAGCTATGGTGGGCTGTCTGTGGACATCTCGTGTATTCCAGAAGGATATTCATCCTCAAGGTCTTCGTATGGATGATGAACTGCTGGAGAAAACTGCAGTGAAAGAATTTAAATCCAGCTTTAACGTTGTCCATCACCCAGCCATGATGTGCTATTCTGTTGACTTCCTGAAGCAGGTAATGGTGTGTAGGCCAACATTTGGGCCTTTGATGGCTCCAGGTGTTCTGTCCTGACAGTTTTTCTGGAGAAGTGTCCCTCAGTGTCTTGACTGACTTGTAGTCAACTGACTTTCAAAGCCTGCTGTGGCATTCTGAGTTTGTGTCAGAGCAGTGGCACAGTTTGAACAGCCTTTGTTTGCAAGGTATAAAGGATGAGTGTAACAGTTTGGGATGTGAATTTGAGCTTAGGGTCCTTTTGAGGATAGAACTAAAGTATCTAAATAATGAAATAAATGGCAATTCTGTAAAAGCTTCCCAATAGCGCATCCTGCTCCACAAAATAGGAGTTTGACCTAAATACTTAAACTATAAGGTCAAGAAATACATAGTTAAACTGTGTACAGCTGTGCATGGGAGAACATTTTAGCAGTGCTTTCTGGCTCTTGTGGTAGCTTTTGAGAATGGCTTATTACACTGGAAATACAAGGAGCTACTTCAAGTACAGAGGTGAGATAACATGATCCTCTCTTGTATTGTCTAGTGTGAGTTCTGCCAGTACTTATCTTGAATTCTGGGTGCATGATGTGCTCTGTGCAGCTGCTGAGGAGTGGAGGGAGCAGCTTGCCAGAGCTGTTATTGTTCTGAAATGTGGGTGCTGCTCTGAGACATCAGGTTTTGGAGGCTATCCAAGGGGTGCACAAAGATGCTGTTTTGTGAGAAATGCTGGCAGACCCCAGGCATACACAGGTGTGACTCCCTGAATGCAGCAAGGACACCTGAGGGTAAAGTTGAAGCAAAGAAATTGGTTAGGGACATGTCACAAATTTGTCTTTGTTTATGTGCTTAATGTCCTGAATTGAGCTCCTTACTGATGATTGAACCCAAGTTTTGTCTTTGCTGGAGGAGGCAATTTTATTTTTGTTTTATACAACTTCTTTTCCTTGGTCTTTCTCATATTTTCTGTCCACATAATTTCCGGTCTGAGGCTTCCTAGACACACAGAGGACCCTAAGCTAGAAGGAACCCGCAAGGATCATCAAGTCCAACTCTTAGCCCTGCACAGGACATCCCCAACAATCCCACCATGCCCCTGAGAGTGTTGTCCGAAGGCTGCTTGAGCTCTGTCAGGCTTGGGGCCAACAGCACTGCCCTGGGAAGCTGTTCCAGTGCCCAGTCACCCTCTAGGGAAGAACCTTTTCCTGATATCCAAGCTAAACCTCCCCTGACACAGCATCCTGATTCTTTCTTGCAGATTTTGAACATTAAAACAAAACACCCCACAAGAAACCAAACATAAACCCCCCAAAAAACCCCAAACAAACCCCCTAAAAAACCAAACCCAAAAATCTTCAGGTGGAGAATTTTTGCATTCTTCCTACTGCAGAACTAAGAAAGAGATTTTGCATAGGAGCTATCACAAATGTGTTTTATGGCAGGAAATAATCAGCTTTAGGACTATGTTTTCCCCAGGACTGCAGTGCAGAGCAGCAGAGGGCACTGCTATGCAGCACACTCCAGAGCACAAGCATCACCAGAGTAGAAATAGGTTGTCTCCTCTTGCTCTTTCTCATTGTTGGGAATTATCTTTCTAGTGTTGTGTAGGGGCAGCTTTTGTACTGGGGAGAGACAGTGGTTGAAGATACCTATAAATATTCCCTGCTGCTATCCAGTAATTCTGCAGCATGGCGCAAGAGGGTCTCCACATTACCTTGCCACTTGTGGATGTAGTATGATACTGGAAGTCTCTTCTGATTAAAAATTGATTCTTCTTTGCACACCTACAATTCCTGACTTAGGAAGGGACTAAGCAACTCTGGACATACTTTTTATCTGACTTGATGTTCTTTTATTCCCTCTGCTTAAGGCTTATCCCGATGATACCACCTACAACTTCAAGTTAATTAAGGTAAGATTTCCTGGTTTGGTGAGGTGAAAGCAGGCAATTTTCAGCAGTTATGTAGAAGAGGATGAGGTGATAATAATCACCAATTCCACAAACGCTCTATAAAAATTTTGAAAGGGGAAAGTTCCAGCTGTAGGCTGGATTCAGTCTCTTAGAGGGTCAAACCAGAGGACATCAACACCTGAGAAGTCGTGTATCTGTGGCTACTGGGCTACTGGGTTTATAAACATTTTCAATATCATGATCCTGATTTGTCCTGTTGAAGCTAAGAATGCGTCGCACATAGGTTTGGGCATTCGGGAACAGGTCGTACCCTGCACACCTGTGGGTGTTTACTGACTGGGGTGGATGTTATCAAATTGACCTAAGAAAGAGGCAAAGTGTTGTCCTGCACATCTGACTGTTTTCTCTGGTTGTACAGGGGAAGAAGTGGGACTGGTACCTGCAATATCTCTATGCACAAGGCTTGAACGGCCTGAAGGTTTTTATTGAAAGCAGCATCAATCGCATCTCTCTCAGGAAAGCAGAGAATGAAGAAGCATGACCTGGGACTTGCTGCAGCTTTTTAATCATCTGGAACAGTTTGCAGAATCTAAAGGACTGTGTCACTAATTCTTCCTTCCTCAGAGGAAAGAAGCAGAGCAATTTCTCTTGTTTGCATTTTTGTACTATCATCTGAAGTTAAGACGCAGAGGGAATGCTCAGGCTGA